GAGAATGACTTGCACTCTTATCGGTGGTTAATATAGACTAATGCTGTGGTTCTGACTGACTGACTGAGTTTGGTTTTACGCCGCTTTTAGCAATATTCCAGCAACATCACGGCGGGGGACACCAGAAATGGGCTTCACACATTGTGCCCATGTGGGGATTCGAACCCGGGTCTTCGGCGTGACGAGCGAACGCTTTAACCATTAGGCTACCCCACCGCCCCTACTTTGGTTCTGAAGACATGTACTTTTGATAGTAACAAATAAACCTATTCAAATTGAAAAGGAGCCCCAGTGAGATTGGAAATCAGAGAATTCGGGAGACTCCTGAACATGAGGAAAATGAGGACTTGCTTCATTCCGGGCTTTAGCATTGCAGGTCGGACAAGACAGTTGGGAAAATATACCGATGTACATAAGAAAGTACACACCTGGTGTTTTTGGATTATTCCCAATAAAACCATAAATATTTTGCTAGCAATGTTGTAATTGGGTACAATATCTGTGGAAACACATTGCACAATGTTTGTGACAAGGCAGAATCAAAACACTTTTTAAATATTAATGCTGTTTTAAAGAAAATATTTCACCAAAGAATCAGGTGTGTACTTTCTTTTGAACGTCGGTTTAATGTTGTTCAAGGAGTATGAGACAGACTTGGGTTTATCTCAAGTCAGCGTGAGTTCGGATTTTATTACTATTTCCTTATATATTATGGAGTAATCTAGCCTTGCTTCAAGGCTGTACTGAATCTTTCCGATCCATCTTAGAATATATCCGCTGAGCCCATGGATGTATAGTTTTCAATCCTCCAGAAAGGCGAGTCTAGATAACCGGCCAGTACATCTAAGGACGCCAGTTTGTTAGGCCAGTCTGTTAGAGGAATATTTATATATTGGTTATTTTAAAAAAAATATCATTTAAACTATTAATTATTACATTAGAAACTTGTGCTAGTCTAGGAGTAGACGTGTTCAACACAATGACAGCAAGATTAAATTAAATGGCAAACCAATTACAAGCACAATAAAACAATTGTCCCAAAATCTTTATTCATCAGAGACATTTATGAACGATATGAACAAACATTCTCTGTATTACAACTAAACCCTATTTTTTATTTTGTGCTTTACATCAGAAACTGTATGCCGGTATAAGGTCACTGTCTATATACTAAAATCATCTGCAAAGTAAAGGAGCGTCGAAGCCTGTAAGAGACAGAATGACAAAAAATGTTCTATTAAAACTGACGTATTCTGAAAAAAGGTATTCTACCGCAGGGGTTGTTAAAGATATAACTGGACAACGGGACTGTTTAAAATACATATTTAAGATCTGAAGGATCACCTACAATTGCAGACAATTCTCTATACAACTATCTATACAGTCCGTCAGACTTAACAGACCTATTACAAATAGTGTGTGTGTGTGTGTGTGCGAGAGAGAGAGAGAGAGAGAGGGGAGAGAGAGAGAGAGAGAGAGAGAGAGAGATCTTTCCCTATCAAGAAGTAATGTCATGACATTACGTAATAGGTCTCTAAATGTAACTGGGGCGGTGAGGTATCCTAGTGGTTAAAGCGTCTACTCGTCACGGCGAAGACCCAGGTTCGATTCCCCAAATGAGTTTAATGTGTGAAGCCTATTTCTGTAAAACCATACTCACTCACTTAAGGTAATTTGTGTCACGGGAACGACTTACACGCCGTCTCGATATTTGTAATATACAATTCCTGATGCAGGAAATAAAGTACCAGACAACCAAAATGACTGGTATCAAAGTTGTCTGAAATGACAGAAGTTTGTGACAGGAAGTCTACATATTTTGTTAATCCCCTGGATGTCGAAGTTTACTGTGCGTGATATATTCTGAGTTTGATTTGACGTCAAAGTGAAGTTTGAACAGAAGGGATATGTAGTCCTCTGGCATTCAGGGAGTTAAACGCCGCACTCAGCAATGTTCATGCTACATGACGCCGATCTGTTAATAATCGAATCTGGACAAGAAAAGCCAGTAATTGACATCAAGGGCATTGATCTACGCAATTGGGATACGATGACATGCATCAACCAAGTCAGCGATCCCGTTGGTCGCTTCCTACGACAAGCATGGGTTGCTGAAGACCAGTTCTAAACCGGTCCTTCATGGGGTACCCTTCACGGGTCGCAGTCTTAAAAGGTCATGCATTGTCCATAGCTTGCCCTCTTCGTCGGCCATGGTTGACTGAGTTTTCAGTAGGTCGCTTACACTAGGGGGGTGAGGTGAGGTGAAATTGGGTTTAACGTCGTGCTTGAGAATATTTCGCTCATATGACGACGTGCATGCGTGTGTGTGTATGTGCAGCTGCTTGTACTAGACCAGACTGAAGCTGGTTTTATAGTGCTAGCCCACTGAGATACCATGGTGCAGTGAAGCATGAATACCCCACTAAGACACATTATACTGACTCCGAGCCGACCAGTCCTTGTTGTACCCATGGATGCCGAGCGCCAGGCAGGGACCAACAAGTACCATATTTTAACGTCTTTTGGTATGACGCGGTCGGGGATCGAACCCGCGACCTTCCGCTCTCGGGCGAACGCTCTAACCACTACACCTCGGAGGCGGTCGCTTACACTAGGGAGAATAGAAGACTTCTGTACATTATCCCTGATTACACATACGCTGAATGTCAGGAATTCTAAAGAATATGATTTATGTTTGCTTTATGAACGACTTTATTCGTTTCGTTCACATTTTGACTCGATGAAACTGGAGTGAGTTGGGTTCAACTCCGCTTTTGGCAGGATTCCATTTATATCATGCAGGTCTTGACTTCTTTATATGGCTCGATAGACCAAATTGACGCATGACAACTCAGACAACCCGTATTTATTCACTGTGAGTTCAGCACCTAACGTATACACTATCTGAACTTCAGACTAACTGTATACACAGTATATTGGGTTCAGACACTAGTATATACTCTACAAGTAACTTGAGCCCACTGTAAACATTACATTGAACTCAGTATGAATACTACTGTATACACATATCATATCCAGCCGCCTTTATATGCACTGTGTTGAGCTCCTCGCGCACATTTCACTTAACGGTAGGGCATTAGGGTTTGTTTGATTAAATATTGAAAGCAACAGTGATGTGAAGAACTAGTATCTTCCCCACCAAGAAAACTAATTTACATATACATAATTTTGACGGTAGATTGTGTACAATGACCTGACATCATCATTTCTCACAATGTTATGACGTAAAAAACTGATGACGTCAAAATGCTATGACGTCGCTGCACTGCAAATCTAATGGCAGTACCGTGTTCAGGGATGTACGTTTTTCATTGAAAACTAATGAAGAGTGATTTTTGATGATAAATAGAATCGCACCCTCGTGTCTTCTGATATCAAATATATCAACACACGTTGATAAAAATAAAATATCCTCAGCAATCCTCGGATATTTGTAACTTCATCAACTCGTGGTGATATATAATACATGTATTTGATATCGAAAGACACTCGGTTGAGATTCTCTACATATCATACCTTATGCGTCACTGATGGGGGAAATTTGAAGGGGAAAAATCGTTGGCAATAGTAATGACTAACACACAGTATACAGTGATATGCCGATGCCCGACAAACTGACCCTTTTCGATAACATCATACCTGTTTTCAATCCCTGCTAATTGAATCTCGGTATAGAGCACGAGATCACAAAAAGCTGAATAGCCTCCGTCGGATTTTATAGTTGATTATACAGGAGCTACTTAAGAAGCTATTGATGTGTAATTAAGACCATAGTTTAACTCCAGGTGTTCTTTCATTTACAGTGACGACTGTCGATAGTGACACTTGAAAGCAATTAATTTGTCAACTAAGAATACGGCTATGTGGTGTATCTATAGCTTATTAGCTGAGTGAGTGAGTGACACTTGCAAGCAAGCAGTTAATTAATCAACTAAGAATGCAGTAATGTTGTGTATCTATAACTTATTAGCTGAGTGAGTTTGTTATATCGATATATTTTATTTTTTATATAAACCCAGTTTGGTGTGAGATTTATCAGTTAAAAATGCGCGAGTCTCAAGCCAAAGGTGTCAGTTGGCAGGCATGTATCTATATGTGTGTGTGTGGCACCTACAATACTAAATAGGTACAGTAGTTGATTTAATTTAGACTATCATAATAAATAAAGTTCCCGTTTATTTCCAACTTTAGTTTGTATAGACCACATGCAAAGTGTACCGCAAATAGGGTTGAGTAACAGAGAGAAAGAATGACTAATATGCGAGCGAAGCATATAGGTAGACTGGTCATGTTTGTCTCTGTTGCGCAACCCTATTTGCGGTACACTTTGCCTGTGTATAGACTGATAACATATTTACATATGGGTCTTAACGGTAACACTATTTTCAGCAGATGTGTATTACCTGGCATTATAAATTTGATTCTGTTATAAGTTCGACTTCTAAAAAATACATATGACACAGCATTTGATGATCAATCAATAGGATAATGATAAAAGCGTAAATTAAGCACTTAATGACTGATGCATTGAACGTTATTACTATTAACACGTACTGTATTTACGATAACATACTTAATGTTATATTTAGTCAGCAAAATTATCCCTTTCCTCTGACGGTGATACTATTTTACTCGGTTCAAATTTACCGCTAAATGGCATCAGCCGGTTTCATAAGCAATGTTGTTATATTCCCTGGTTACGAAGGTACAAACACTGCCTCATGCATAATTCAGTACTTATCATAATTGTTTTCAATTGAACATTATTATCAAGTCCATCGTTGTGGTAAATGTACAGGTAAGAAATGTATAAGACACAATTTACTCCACATGTTTAACAATATTTGACCACATACAAGAGCTTCTGGGATTATTGCGAAATATCTGTTCGCGTGTTAAACGTGTTACGAGTGTTGATTGGTCCGCCCAACAGGTTACTATCCAATCAGAAAGAAGAACGCTTCAGATGGTTTAGTGATCGGCAGGAATGCACATGTTTATATCGGGAGGGGTAGACTTGCTGGTTTCCATTTGTTGGCCTTCGTCTAGCTTGAACGTAAGAAGATGGGAGAAAATGGAAGAATTAAACACGAGAATGGACGTAAAAACGGCGTAAACGGAAAACATAATGGAAAACACTCAGAGGTAAAGTTTATTTTGTCGCGTCAAAGTTGAGTTATAACTTCCCGAATGGACCGATACCGGTGACATATTATGTGAGTCAAGTGCCCGACTGTAGATTTTGTTGTTGTTGACTACGGTGGTTTGTGTGAATGAATCGCGTTGTATTTATTATTGACATCTTGTTTACGATTATAGGAAACATTTGTGATTGAAAGCAGTTTTGTCCTTTTATATTTTAATAATAAATGATTAGCAGGGGGCCTGGCGTATGTTTAGCCTTAAAGGCTCATGTAGCGAAGGACGGTAGGTGTCCGTTGAAGACGACCAAGATAATGCGCCTGACCCAATAAAAGTCACAACTGACATGGTTGACCGAGATCGAGTCAGAAAAATAAGAGTTGAAACCTAAATTTTAGCGGAATATATCTAAACCGTAAGCAGAGCTGTTTGAATGTGTGAATACCAGGATAACTTGTCGTTGTCATTTGGTTAGATCTGTATTTATATGCAAATTAAGGTGGTAGCCCGTGCTCCGATGTCTCGCTCTAGTTCGCAGTGACCTGCCCTGTCGCTAGCCTGGCTCAGGCTCCTGTGTACGGATTTGTTTTAGGGAGCAGCCACATGTTTTCTATCACCCCTTTTAAGTATGTTATGGCTTTACCTTATCAATATTGACTGAAAATGCATATAATATCTGGCAAAAGAATTTTAGTGAGTGAATATGGTTTTACTTCGCTTTTAGCAATATTCCAGCAATATATCATGGCAGGGGACACCAGAAATGGGCTTCACATATTGTACCCATGTGGAGAATCGAACCTGGGTCTTCTATGGACAAGCGAACACTTTAACCTTATGTACAATAACAACAATAACAAGTCAGTATTCTCCACCTTCGTGACTCAAGGACAAGTGAGGGAGATAATCATGATTTGCTTTTTGCAAGGAAGCAGTCAGTTTATTCCAGTAAATGTCACTAAGCCACACTTTTATTGTTTAATATTAAAAATACAAACAATTTGATTATTCCAATTCAGTTACACTTTGGCTTATTTAATTTCGCAAATGTCAGATAACATATTTTCAATTAGTTTTCTTAGAATTCCAGAAAGTTGATGATGATAAATTAAGTTTATATGAAATATTTTAGGAGAAATTTATTAGTCATGGTAACCCAATGATCTTCTTCATGTTCAGGTTCCCTGGCAAGTATGATACAAATGACAAGTTACGATATTGTATTTGGATGTCGTGCTTACCGCCATAATGAAATATATCCATGAGCATTGTTCATGCAGAACCCGTATTTTTATGGTGTAAGTACGTAACTGCAAGGTATTTTACTCTGATTTAAACAAAAACCATACTGAAATTGAAACATGGTAACAAATCACTTGCAATCTGAGAAGAATACACAAAAACCTGAACATCAACACTGAGGATAAGTATGGTCTCCATGACAACCCCACAAATCTGATTGTGGCACAGTTTTTAAACAATCGTTATTCAATTGTATGAACCTCCCCAGGCGACCACACCAGTATCAGGTGAGGCTCTCCATCTGCCAGTTATGAGCATCTTATTCCTCTGCCTTTCCTCAATCAGTGTTTGCCTTAGTTCTTCATTTTGAACAGGAGCAGCACCAGCTCAAACTTGGTATCTGGGACAGACCCGAAGATGTTCATTGGGGTTTAAATAATATCAGGGGTATTTGCGGGCCATGGTAATGTTTCGATGGAATTGTCATCTAAAAGGGCGATGATGGCTCAAGACAGCCAAGCATTGTCATCAATGAATATCTGACGATTGGCAAGGTTATCAGAATGTGGCACCATGGTTGTATCCAGTACTTCCTGTTGAAATATTGACCATAATGTGTGCCAGGTGCTGTAATGAGATCCAACTTGCAGCCTTCAAAAACGCTTCGAACCATCTCTGAGCTACCACCAATTGGTTCAGCTGCTTGGGTTATCTACTCATGATACGATGTCTCTATACATAACAACGGTCGTTGGTAATGTTTTGAAGAAAGGGACTGATTAGACCAATGAAACCTATGCCATTTCCCTCAAATTCTTGGAGTTTACACCACTCCAGACGTTTCTGCCTGTGCCTATCCGTGAGGAAGGGACGTCTGATCGGACGACGTACCCTCAGACATACCCTCAGACGTACCCTCAGACATTGCAGCCTCCCACTCCCTATTGCAGTTCTTCGGTATGGTTCATCATGGCCAAACGAATATGTACCCAGTCATCATGGTGAATGGTTTTCCTCAGTGTTCCAGGACTTGGACAATGCTTTACTTCACCAGTGGCCACGTGGTTCCTGTTAGGTGAACTAATGACCTTTTGGCTTATGTACAAGTTAGCACCAATGTTGCGACAGGTTATCCCTGCGTAGCCAACCGAATAACTTGCCATCATGTATTTTATGAACATCCACGTCTTGCCATGGCACATTCACATCATGTGAATATGTGACCGACCCATAGGAAAAGAGCACTTTGAGACCTTTACAAAGGAATGCTTGTCGACCGAACAAAGCATAGTTGGAGCATTTTTTTTACTATTATTTTAACTTTGATTGGAAACTCACAATAAAACACCATAAAAGAGGGTAAAGAAGAACTGTAAACATTAGGTGTCATGCAGAAACTAAGATGATATTTTTCAGCCTGAAAAGCAGACACCATCCCTATCAGAAAACTTATGCTTTAACACTGGTACACTGCATAATGTGGCCTGTTGACATATAGATATACAGTATGTGACCTGTTGACATATAGATATACAGAAGCAAGTCTTACAGCAATCAGCTGTTACTTGCCGTTACCAGTTTGATCATTACAAGTTGCCACAGTTCAAAAGTTGAAACATGGTACTCTCAGAACATTTGATGAATGTGAGGTTTTCATACCATACACAGCTATTTAATGTCACATGGCTGGGTCTGATATGGGATAGATACAGTCTAAAGGCAACTCTCCAAGCCCATCATCAGCAGACATGTCATTGGCACTGCTACAGTTCCAGAAAAGTAGCAGAGAGAAGAACAAAGCTAAAAAGGAACGAAGAAAGCTACCAAGGAACGTTCCTATTTTTACTCCAAGGCTCTTATACAGTCTGTCCAGGAGCGGGGCGGTGGGGTAGCCTAGAGGTAAAAGCATTAACTTGTCTATGGAAGACCCAGGTTCAATTCTCCACAGGGTACAATGTGTGAAGCCCATTTCTGATGTTCCCTGCCATGATATGGCTGGAATCTTGGTAAAAGCAGCATAAAACTAAACTCGCTGCTTGTCACTGTCCAGGCGCAGCGCAAGGAAGTTATTGTTACAGATGGAGAACAGGTAGTGTTCCTTAACAACATGATCTGTCTCCACTTGTCCCCCTCATACTCATGTGTATGCTGCAAAACACGGCCATGAAAAGATAATGTTTCAAACAGTAGCTACAGGTGTTGTAATGCTTGCAGTAATGCTCAATAAATCCCATCCCACCAACGCATGCAGCTCTTGTACAGCATGTAAAAAACCCAGCTTACCAGGCAGGTCATATTTGGGGTCAGTCACTTCTTCCACAGCATTTAACTGCCATTTCCAGCAGGGGATTGATTCAGCAGGAAAGTGCAATGTTCCCTTATGGACGACACTTCACCAAGCATCAAAACCTTGTCTTGTGGCTGCAGAAAGGTGTGTAACAACATATGAAATAGCTTTTACTGAGACTACGATAAATTGGTATATATATATGATTTCCACTTTGTCCACTTTTGGATAAAATGTTGAAAGAATCGCTAAATGCTTAATAACAATAACGCACCAATGATGTTTGAAAATGTAACATTTACAATAATTTTGTTTTATACATAACTCTCCATAGTAACTCGATATTTCTGGGACTTCTAGGTAATAGGTAAATGCTACATAACAATAACGCACCAATGAGTTTTTGAAAATGTAAACATTACAATAATCTTATTATATCCTAGTTTGCTAGCACTTCTAACAAGTATCTTACTGACTGATACAGTTTATTCAGATGAAAGGCCATAGGCGCATAATACACGCAATGTTATATGAATCATGCATGCCAATGAAGTTATTGAATTAGTTTCTCTTAGCTGTTGGACTTGTACAAATCTAGATGTAGGTCATATAGCATCAAAGTTTTCAGATGAAAGAAGTTTGATAAAAGATGTTACAGTGTGGGACTGTTGAAGATACATATTTCTTTGGGCTGAGTAACGCTCACATAAAAGCATTATGTGAAATCCATCCTCAATAAAAGATCTTCCCCTTTGTGTTCAATATTTACACAGTTGTTCAGTGTATGGGACATTTATGTATCTCTCAAATCGACCGCAAGTTTAAACCTACAACATCTAAAAAGAGTCGTGCATGGTCTCAGATTTACAAGAGTATAAGATACTTTTCCACATTTAACAGGGATTTCAGATGTTTATGAAAGAAATACTCAGATAAACTCTTACTATAAGGGACCGTTCATAATTTATGGCTAGGGGGGATGATGATGATTTTGAGGGGAGGTCACCCATTTTGTGCTGGGGAGGGCATCAATTTTGTACACACATACTGGGGTGGGGGTGGGGGTTTGCTTTAATAAATTTTGTACATATAAATATGTTTTAACTTATGCTTAGAAATCATTGGAAGGGGAGGGGGTAATTGATTTTGTCAATGACAGGCAGAGGGGTCACTTATTTTGTACATAAAATTTGAGGGGGGGGTGGGCATTCACATTGTACCTGCTTCTCCATAAAAATCATCAAACCCCCCTAGCCATAAACACTCCCTAAATACACCATAACTGTTAAAGGTTGTCAGATAATCTTTGTTTAAAAAATTTAAATATATATCTTCACATTTCCGACATCTCATGTTGACCTCACATATCGATACATCTTACTTAAGATGACAAACCTTGAATACGTTTTCCTGATGCTAAAAATACAATTTGTTAACGACCATGCCATTACTGTAAATGTCTATTTTCCATGAT